ACTATGTTACAGACTTTTCATTAAGACCCTAAAGAATCATATCAACTTGTGGAAAATGGGCATCATATGACCTCTTTAAACAATTAGTAAATAAACTGCAGAATTCTAATACATCTAATACACGCGCGCATTGCATGTATTCTGACAGCGCCATCTGCTTGTTAACCAGGGTTAAGCGCGAGGAGCGCGAGGAAAATCTGCACAGAAACATTGTTACTCGTCAGTTGCTCAGTCACATTTTTATGAATTTTTACAAGGCATGTGACAATGCGATACATACGACGTATTCGTAATGAGACTCATTTATAAATCTGTTGTCAACAAAAATAAGCATATGTGATGTTATCAACAAAAATAAGCATTGAGGTCTTCCTGCGCCATTGGGGTCTTTGGGGTCTTGAGAAAAAGCAAGAACTCTTATCAACATTCATAAATGTTAGTATTGTAATGTTCTGTAAATTCTGTAAAAGAAAAGAAAAGGTAAGACAATAATCATTACAACAGCTCTTTTTTAATACATTTATTATAACATTCAAACATAGTGTTCAAATTGGGATCTGTAGTATTTTCTGTCAAGAAGGGGGTCTGATGGCCAAAAAATATTATTTTACTAACTTATTAATTTTAAGTTAAATTGTGCTTTGTTGGTATAATGTCTGCTAGAATGTTAAAAATGTTCAGTGTTAAATATTTTTAAATTGTTGTTTTGTAATTGATTTTTTTTCTTTGGAAAGCAAGACAAAACAGTAAAAAGCACATTTTGGCTATTTAATTTATGCAAAGGTGAAAAAAAAAATTGGCAAAATACATGGGGAAAAAACTCCGTATTCGGTATTCCGCCCTGTGTTTAATTTTGTTCGGTTTCGGCTTCAGCCAAGAATTTTCATTTCGGTGCATCCCTAGTTTTGTACATTCCACTTGCGCCTATGTCTTTTGCAGCTTCTTGTACATAACGTGGTGTAGTCATGAGCTGCTGGTTCACATTTAAAAAATGCTTCTACAAACAAAGTTTCATCTGCAGATATGGTCTTGTTTAGGGATCTGTGTCTTTATGCATACAGACATCTGACTTATAAGTAGAGATTGTGTTTTTCAGCAATAGTGTGCACCCTTAATTTACAGAGAAATGAAGGTCCGGGGAAAATCTGTAGATGGAAAAATCTCATCTTGTGCATTTTTATTTTTTTCTACTTTGCACTTTTTGTTTATTTACTATTTATTCAGGTTTTTTAAGGTATCTAATATTTTGATGCTTAATTTCCATTATCTAAATATTCTTAAAAATGTAAAGTTTGTTGTCATTTGGAAGTGTGTAGGCCTTCTTGCATTATTATGCTGTTACATTATGATTATATATTCAGTGGCATAAAATGGTCTTTAAAATGACAATAATATCGCTTATCGCAATTATTTCTGGGGCAATATATCGCAAAACAAAAAGTTGTTATCGTGACAGGCCTAGTTGTGTCTGTGATCTTTTCTGGAAATCATCTCGGGATCAGTGCATTTGAAAAATCACCTGAAAATATGAAATCAAAACTTCATTGTCAGAATCTCCCAACGTGCATTTGAAATGTATTTGCACAAATAACATCTAAATGAGGTGTAAACGTTTCTGTTCCTGTCATTTCTGCGAGCATTTTGAGCTTTTTATGAAGATTTGCATGAAGTCACGTTGTATACAATCAGACTTCTTCAAGATTCTTGACAAAAAGCCTTTGTGTAATTTACTGGAGAATCAAGGCGAACAGGATAAACAGAGGACGGGAAGTGAGCGGGAATCAGGTGCTGTGTGTGTGTGTGTGTGTGTGTGTGTGTGTGTGTGTGTGTGTGTGTGTTTTCAGAAACGTGAGCGATGTTTCGTCTGTTTTCTCTCAGAGATCTCGTGTCCAGTCAGAGGAACGTCAACATGACCACGCCGTCCAGAAACTTCTTCTCCACCTTCCTCCCTCAGACCCGACGGGCCCCTGGGAAACCGGCCCCGGGGCCACAATCCTCGCCCTGGAAGGACCCTGCCGTCACGCAGGTACATCAGTATCAGTATTTTAGAATCGTTGTTTTTGTATTTTCTGTTTTCATTTTAATTTTACACATTTTTTTTTTGTTGTTTTTGTATTTATTATTTTTTAAATGTGTCTAAAAAGTTTTGTATTAATTTTATTTCAGTTTTAGTTTTAGTTATTCTAGTACATCATGGTAAACTAAATGAAAAGGAGAAATGTTGCCTTGGCAATTTAAAGCCTTTATGTATAATGAATTATAAAGGGTTATTAAAGGCTATAATGCATTATAATTATTCATAGTGTGCATTGTAATACATTATATCTTGCCGTAAATAATTATAACCAAATTTAAAATGCATAGTGTAACAATGAATTGATAAGTGTTATATTAAGTGTATTTACAATTATTTTGTAAAAAAATTTAAAGGCATATATAAAGATGTAAATAGAACAAATTTATACTGTGAAAATTTAATATTATATGTGTGAGTGTGTGTGTGTGAGTGTGAGTGTGTGTGTGTGTGTGTGTGTGTGTTTTCAGAAACGTGAGCGATGTTTCGTCTGTTTTCTCTCAGAGATCTCGTGTCCAGTCAGAGGAACGTCAACATGACCACGCCGTCCAGAAACTTCTTCTCCACCTTCCTCCCTCAGGGCCGACGGACCCCCGGGAAAATGGCCCCGGGGCCCCAATCCTCACCCACACAGGCCTCGCTGGGCCGGAAGGACCCCGCCGCCACAGCGCAGGTACATCAGTCTTATTTTAACATCATTCAGATATTGTGACCCTGCAGCACAAAAGCAGTCTTAAGTCGCTGGGGTATATTTGTAGCAATAGTCAACAATACATTGTATGGGTCAAAATTATACATTTTTCTTTTATGCCAAAAATCATTAGGATATTAAGTAAAGATCATGTTCCATGAAGA